GAGGAGGATACAACTCAATGCCTGCCGATGTCGACGAGTTTTTGGTGAGAGAAGGACGCTGGCGCCAGCGGATGCCTCCCGCAATTGCACGCTGGGCGCACGCAGCCGCAGTCATTAAGGTTCCCCCCGCCGCCGCCGCCGCTGGACAGAAGGCGCTAATTGGCGTTTTTGGTGGATGGGATGGAAATGCACGCCTTTCCTCCTGTGAGCTCTATGACGTCAGTCAGGACAGGTGAGAAGACGCCGGCCGTCGTGGCACATCCTTTTTTTGTTAGAAATATCACTCATTCACTCGCTGCCCCGTTTACCCTCCGCCTCCCCCAAACAGATGGCACAAATTGCCCGATCTGCCGGAGAAGAGGAGCGGTCCAGCTGCTGCCTACCTACCCGGCGACAGTCGGGTCTTCGTTTTTGGCGGTTACGATGACTCCTTCTCCGCGCTGGCTTCCGTGGTCTTCTGTCATCTGGGGGCAGACTGGCAGGGACAGGCGATCTCAGCGGACTTTTGGCAGCCAGCTGCCCCCATGAGAACTGCACGATGGGGTCTCGCAGCGACGCCATTTCGGGGAGCAATCCTGGTCGCTGGTGGATACGATGGCCGAGCTCTCAACGTCTTTGAGATGTTCTCGGTGCCAGACACCTGCAGACCCCTCGGCCAGTGGACAGAGCTGGCCGGCATGAAGCAGCCTCGCAGGTACTTCAGTCTCCTCACCGCCGCCAGCGCCGTCTTTGCTTTCGGTAATGCAACACACAGATTAGATGGATCCCTTTATGCCATTTGATGGCCTCTTTCATGTAAACCTACTTTTTTTCTGCGAGTCTGAAGGCTTAAAGTACCTGACAGATGACGCCAAATGCAACTGTAATCTGTGACATGACGCCGTGGAGGTTTTTCTCCTGAGTACTGCCCCATCACAGCCAGAAACAGTCGGCGTCATTGTGCATACTGCCGACCCTTTATTTTTTTAACAAAACTCTTTTCTCTCTGGTGTCTTTCCTCTTCAAATGCCACTTCGCTATGATTATTCAAATAAAGCATTGTAGGCAACGACGACGCATGGAAAAACACCGTGGAGACTCTCACGGCACCAGAAGGTTCAACCAACTTTGACAACGACTTGACATCTTGGGTCTGGTCGTCCATGAGCCGAGTGGAGATACTGGAGTGGATTTTTGGAGCTGCAAGCATTCGCCTGTAAACGTTTGCGTTAATTGTCCTTTGATATTGCCTTGAAGTTCCCTCCGTTGGTTGCGTATTGAAAATAAACGAATAGCAAATCAATCTGCCTTGACAGGTGTTATTTCAAAACGTTGAAAGGCTGTGTGCGGTGTCCAACATGTGGTATGGCCGATTAATATCCCATTTTGACTTTAGGGAAATGAAATAGGGGTGTAGTAAACTATTTAACTTGCTCAAGGAAGATGCTCATTCGCTGAGGTGATGCATAATTATGGTAAAATCAAAAACTCAGGTGTTTTTGCCTTGGTAGGATGGAAAGGTGTACTGATTTGGAACCGCTGCTATTTTCAGAGAGTATCACCTAGAGCTGTCAAATCGTGAATTTCAGAGGTTCGACGAGAACCCTAAATTTTATCGTACTTTCGTGAAAGAGTTACAGTCTATAATTGAAAGGAAAACTAATGACGGCATTACATGCTTTGCTTACCTGTGAGGGCCGAGCGAAGAAGGCTATACAACACTGTGCGATATTAGACGCCGACGAAGGTCTTCAAAAGTCCAAAAAGGTTTCGAAAAAATCATTCGGTTAGAATCATATGGTAGTCTGAGCCTTTATTGAGGCATTAATCGACGGACCTCAAACAAAAGACGAAGACACCGCGGCGTTGACTCACCTTAGCCAACAAATGAAAGCTTGCCTACCAATATTGAACCAACTTAATTACGCATCTGACCTCCATTCCAGCAGAAATCTGGAGTCGATTGTGAGACGACCACTAACAATTAAGATTCAAATTAGCTGAAGCCGCTTCAAATGCAATACGTCGGGGTGAAGAACCACTGTTTGAAGATCTCGCGAACTCCATAGAAGAACAAGTTGACGGTGCTTGTATTCGGTTCCGAGAATTTGCGGTCAGTTTATGCAATCATTAAGTTCAACAGTCCAGTAGAACACAAAGATTATCAAACAGTCTTCAAAGGAATGTGCATGTTTCGAACAGCACGGAAATAAAGCGTAATGAAACCCCTTTCTCACTGTGTTGCCCGGTCTGTGGAGAAGATCATTATCCCGATGAATGTCCAACATTCGCAGCCCATGACAAGAAGGGAAGAAGAGCGACTTTACAAGAGTTTAAACTGTGTCCTAGTTACCTGAAAGCGAGTCATGTCGCTATGAAACTGCAGATCACCTCGTGGTTGTACAGTGCAGGGCAGTGGAAGAGAACGTCATACACTAGTACATCCAGACGATGATGATCATAGCAGCCCGTCGATGCTTTCAGTCAACCCGTAGTCGGACACTAATAAGAGGTTGCGAAGGTAGCCCTCGCAGTTATTCCTATGATTATCCGATACCAACGACACACGGCACGGACTTTGGCACTTCTAGACAACGGGCCCGACCCAACTCTTATACGTGTTAGTCGTGTGTCTGCTCTTAGAATGAAGGACAAAAGCAAGGATATAGTCATATCGACTTTTAATAAATGAACTGTATTTCGGACAGTGGAAGTCGAGTTCGAAGGAGAATCTAACGGTACAACAACTTCTATTCACATCAAACGGGCTTTTTCTGTCAAGTCTCAACCAAAAGCGAACCGAACCACGCAAAATTATGATTTAGCCTCACTCTGGCCTCACTTGAGTACGATCGAATTTGAATCACGCAAAGACATGGAAATCGGCGGTTGTTACGTTGTGATGTACCGAAATCACACTGGGTACAAAACCAATGCCTAGGTAAAACTGACGAGCCACACGTTATTCGAACGGTCTTGAGGTGGATGATAATGGGACCTGCACATCTGACTTCCAAAAAGAGGAAAAGGGTCTACTGCTCGAAGTTGGCAGAGTCCCAAAAGGATCTGCAGCTGTTCTACTAACAAGACTCCATTGATGAGGAACCAACCAAAGGTAAAGATCTGTCTGTAGACGATCATATCGCCTTGGAGAATATGGACCACACGCTCTGTTTTCGCAATGACTATTATATGTTAGCATAACCTTAGAGAACGCACCCATCAATCCTCCCGAATAACAAGCAATGGTTCTTACAGCGCCTACAACTGCTCGGTAAACGCCTCCTAAAATCAGAAGACCTGTTGCAGAAGTACACGAAAACTATGAAAGAGTACATTGAGTCTGGATATGCCGAGAGGTTCCGGTCGAGGAAGCAGTCTATTCTTGGTACCCTCTCCATCATCCCGTTTTCCACCCAGCCAAACCGAGTAAGATACGTATGGTTCTTGACTGTGCAGCTAAATTTTACGGAACCTCCCTAAACGACCAACTACTCTACGGACCTGGTAGGGTCAGTTCGCTAATCGCGGTACTTATGAGATTTAGACAGGCGAAAATCGCCATTATGGCCGATATTGAATCGATTTTCCATCAAGTGCGAGGGCCTGGGAAAGACCGTAACATTTTAAGATTTCTCTGGTGGACGAATGGCGACTTGTCGAAACCACTGACAGAATACTGGATAAAAGTGCATTTATTTGGAGCTACATCCTCTCCAAGCTTCGCTTCCTTTGCGCTTAAACGAGCCATCACTGATAATGCCGAAAGCTACGACAAGGATGTCGCCGGGGGAGGCGAAACGATGCGTCTATGTAGACGATTGTTTGGGCATTTTGCGAGATGAGAACAAGGTACTCCAGTTTTTGAAGCATTTGAAGTCAGTGTTAATCAAGGGAGGCTTTAAACTGCAAAAATAGAAGATCGACAGTGTCGCTTTAATGACGCCTATACCCGAGTCAGAACAGGCCGCCACACTTCTAGAACTGAATCGTCGACATCACGCAATGCACCTAGCAATCGAGGTGGGTTAAAACGATAAATTTTGCTTTTTATATGCGTCCTATGACCAAACCGTGCATTAGGAGGAACATATTTGCACATGTTTTGCCTTTCTTTGGTCCGATGGGTTACATTATTCCAGTAACGATACTTGCAAAAAGGTCCTGTAAAATTTTTGTAAATGAAAGGCAGACCTGGGCCAAAGAGATATTCGACGAAGCGTTGACATTGTGGAGAAAGTGGTTGAATGAAATACCTAACCTCGATCACTTCACCGTACCTCGATGCACTTAGTCAAAGAAGGCGAAAGCAAACTATGAGTTCCAACTTTATATATTTAGTGACGCCTCAGAAACCATTTATGGCGCAGTCGCCTACATGGTCATGGGGAGCAAAATCGCATATTTCCTAAAGCCAGGATCGCCCCTATTCCCGCGATTAATATACCACGCTTGGAGCCAATAGCAGTTGAGGTAGCCGTTAAGGTAGCCAAGTTGATCCGCACAAACATTAGAGCAAAGATTTCAATAACTTTCTTCTCTTCAGACTCTCTAGTGGTGCTCCAAAGCATTCGCCATACTTCGAAACGTTTTTTCAGCTTATCCAATCGCTTGTCGCTTATACACGATCTCTTTAGTCCAGACGAATGGCGCTACATTGAATCCAGTGGGAACCCCGACAACCTGCTATCCCATGGTGTTTTTACAAAAGAAACAAATAAGCCAGAACGTTGGAAAAATGCGCCTGAATTGCCGGTGGTCCTAACAAAGCAAGCACTACAAACATAGAAAATGCTCGTGTAATGACACACCTCTGTTCGGACTCCAAACATGTTAGCTTACTCCATCGAACTGTCACAGTGACTGCTGGCTATAGTCATTTAGCCTCGTGGAGCAAACTTCAAAGAAGCACAGCCTCGATTCCTTGTTATAAAAGATATTTGTGGATTCCATTCACAACCCCAAAGACAGATTGGAATTGCAGAGGTGAGGTTACGTAACAGTCACCGTGGGGACTTCTATTTCTTCCTCTGACACGTACCGTTAAATATCGTCTGATATTTTCCTGTGAACACAATTGCCATTTGAAATTAATTACTCGGGAATGCGAAAATTCTGTAAATTTATTTTTTGTTTGGAAGAATTATTACTCGTCTTTGTACATTCAGGGAAACTCTCACAAATATTGGGTGCTGAATCCACCAATCGACTACACCGTAGCGGTGACGTTCATGGTCCCTTAACCCCGTGCCCGGTCTCGCCCGGGATAATTTCCTGAGCCAACAACAACAGCTGTTTTTCAGTACTCCCGTTTGATCTTATCCCAAATTAATGATAAGAAATGGCGACTGAAGATGTCCGATGCAGTGCTACCCCTCCCTTTATTGACGATCATCATTTCACGGACAGTAGATTTTTTCTCTTGAACTCCCAAAACTATAAAAAACCGCTATCGTCTTTGTGCTTTATCAGGAGTTTTTTTTCACTGAAAGCCGAATTTGTGTTTAACCTTACCCTGACATTGCCTGTAAACTAGCATTAAATGCAATTATTATTAATATTAAGCGTCTTCGGAAATTGTGACGATGGGGCAACTAGGAGCGTTTACCTATGCAATAAAACTCTTTAGGAACAACAATACCTTTGACGATGCCCTTAGACAGTGTGGTGCCAAGAACAGATCTCTTCGCAAATGGGTCAGTTCGTTGAGATACCTTTCACCAATCGTCCTGGATGGAGTGTTACGTGTCAGGGGACGACTTCAGAACTCGTGCCTACCGATCGGGGCCAATCATCTTATCATTCTGCGTCCCAGCACTTTGTGACGCATTGACTAATTCAGCACTAGCACGAACTGAACGGTCATATGGGACAAAGCTATATTCTATCTACAATAAAGACGCGGTACTGGATAGTACGGACCAACAGAAAGATAAAGGCATCCTTTAAATGATGTCTCAAGTGCCTGGGACGGTTGTCTCGACCTTACCAACAAGCGATGGCTCCGATCCGCCTAGATTGGACCGCACAGTCGTGCGATCCCTTTACTATTTCGGGAGTTGGTTATTTGGGTCCGGTGTCCGTTAAACGGGGACGTCCCGTCGAAAAGCGAAACGGTTGGCTGTTTGCCTG